GATATCAGGGTACAAAGGGGGGTGGGGGGGGGGGGGGACTCTTTTAATTTGATTAGGTAGCCCTCAGAAGGGCTGTTTTTGTAATTAGATTTGACGGAGCCTTTAACGGACGCTAGCTAAGAGCTCGGGAGCGATTCTCCTCCGTCGAGGCGTCTGACATTCGTTCATCGCCGACTCTTCAAAAAGGTAGATGTCATCTGGTGTGGTGACGACTGTTTTACCATTACGAGAAAAAAATCTTTATAGGACTGTCATCCACTTACATAAGTTGCACAACTTGGGTTCGGCTGCCATGGTGCAAATGAATGGCCTTAGACAAATGGTCTTGATTTTATCGGCCTCATACCTGAAAGGTCTTTTGATTGGAAAAAAAACCACGTGGTATTTTTTTTTATGTTTGATCAAATAACACCAGAACAATGTAATTAACAATTAACAATGAACAAAAACTAAAGAATTTAACTACAACGTAAATCTTCGACATGTTTGACCTTCCTCAAATCTTAAACAAGGAAAATGGTCATGGGTCCTAGCATGCACTAAACGATCGTTTTCTGTCAGATTCGATTTAAACACCGACATAGCATGTGGCGTGGGTACGTGGAATCTACCACACAGGTAAAACAGACAATAATGGCCACATACATCGCTTTGGAGTCCTTGAATCCATTGGGAGTTGTGCCGTACCGGTCCTTGGCATTGAGCAGAGTCGGCAAAATCTTTTCCAAACAGTTCTGTGGGACATCCGTACGAATCAAAGAAATCACAGTGGTTTTCTTCGCACACAAACACAGTCCAATGTTTTCCAGGCTGGTCTTCGTCATCGGTGTTGACAACGTATACTTCAGGATAGTTTTTTGGTTTCGCTTCTTGTTATTGATTTCTAGACAAAACTCCCCCGAATTGTTCAGGAATGTGACACTTCAGAGCTTTACCATCCACCAAAATTTGACGGTTGACGTCGATTTCCAAGACATTGTCGTATTCAGCAAACATAAGCAGATTGAGTGGATTCGGTAGGGCGTTTTCGAATCTCAAGTCCAAAGACAAACTTCCAGACGACTTGGGATGAAAATTGACTTGATCTGCTCCGTGGTCATTGGTCAAATCAAAACCAAAAAGAGTGTAGCCTATAATATATTCGTTGTCAGAGAAATCCAAATCTTCGTTGTCGTTGAGCACTCCTACTCTTTTCATCAAATCTAAATACGGAGCTGTGGCTTGTTGGTTTGTGACATCCATGAAATATTCGTCCAACACATCACCATTTTTCATCAGTTTGATGTATTCTAGTCGATGATGGTGAAACTTGAATGGATTCTTGGTGGAATTGCCGTCGTAAGAATCGTTGATGAATAAATTATCCAAGACGTAAAAACGTCGACGACTGAGTATGCCGATGTCTTTGACGACGACTCCTTTGAGTGAATATTTGGCGTTGTTCGACGGCAATGCGTGTGTACGTCGATGGCGCCAGCGTAACAAAAGGTACTTCTAAATAGGCTTTGATCAATTCAACTTTGTAACTTTGGTTGTTTTCGTTCCACATCAAATAAAACATTTGGGAGAATCAAACCCTCCCTTCCCCGAAATCTAATACTGTCTGTGCCAGGCCAGATCAGACAATTTATTTTGACTTTGGTATATTTTATTTCATCTTATATATATTTATATATTTTTTTTATGTATATATTATATATGTTAGGATTTTTACATTTGCTTCTCGTGCATATAAGCTACCAAAGCCCAGCCCAGAAATTAATCGCTACAGCCAACAAAACCTTCCCAAACTCTAAGATCCTCTTCACATGTACCCCCATCTCAAATAAAATCTCAAAGAAAGCACAACAGAACCTCAGCACCCTCAACAACATGATGATGGAGTCCAATATCAACAGCGCAACAATCTTACCACCCTACGAAGAAGAATTCGAACCAGTTGATAATCTTCATTTGTCTCCTGAAACAGCAAACAGTATCTATTTGTTTTGGATACACCAGCTTCAAGCATCGAGTAAATCTGTAAACTAATTATTGGGGATAAAAATACTGAGAGGCCACCGCTAGGCCCAACTGTTGACTTGAGCCGCAAAATTATCACACCCCTTCAGCATTCAATCTTAGACCGTGGACTTAAGTTTATTCCGACACCGAAGATAGCCAACTTAAATTATCTCCGACCATCCATTGAACGATTTCAACGAAATCTTAGCTGCACATATTTTTTTCAAAACCACCCCCACGTGGTGCTAGAACAATGTTTATTCCTAAATCCACGTGGACACTCCTCAGGCCGCCTTCCATCCTGAAATATTGAAAGCATTTGCGAGTATGAATAGCTAAACAGCGAACCTTTCCATAACACACGAAAAGCCTAATCTCACACGAGTGGAACGTGAAGCGTTAAACTTACTTAAGAAAGACGAAAGCATTGTTATTAAAAATGTTCATGTTGTGTCATTCTGAATCACGTTTCAGAAGCAGAGAATCAACTGAATAATCCTAAACATTATGCCATTTAACCGATTTTCAAAGAAACTGCTAATATGATTAGCAATATTCTTGCCGATTTAGTCAAAACTAGTTATCTCAAACAGAAACAATATGACTATCTGTCTGCCAAACCTGATTGCCATGAGAAATGAAATGAAATGCATTAAGGAGCATCAGCCAAACGGGCTATATAGCTCCAGAATATGTTAAAATAATAAAAAAACTAAAACAATAAAAACACCTATTAATAGGTCACATAGTGACAACAAAAAAAGACGATAAAAACCATATCACAGAAAAAGTCATTATTGACTACAAAAAACACTAAAAACAATATCACAGGTAATACACCACATGGTGGTATTAAAAACTAACAAAATATTTAAAACAAACAATGACTAATCTATTTAAAATTTAAAATAAAGACCTGCTTGTTTTAAAAAAGCCACAACCTTCTCATAAAGAGAAGGTTGCGCAAAAAGCTGAAATAAAGAAACAGCACGGTAGTGCTGTGATCCTATAGGTTTGAGATGCTTACACTCAATCAGAATGTGTTTCACTGTCAGGCGGATCTGGCAGTGCTCACAGACTGGTTGAGGCTCTCGCTTAAGCAAATAACAGTTGGTGAGGTGAGTATGTCCAAGACGAGAGCGACATAAAACAACTTCATTTCTCCTGTTGGCACAATAGGAGGAGGGCCAGTCTCCTAGGAGAGGCTTAATGGCATGAAGCTTGTTAGTGTCTGCAGCATCCCATCTTTGCTGCCATCGATGTTGAATAAATGACCTTTAAAATCGGTGAAAGGCAAAGAAAAGGGGGAAGCAGGCAGTGACAAAGCAGCCTTAGCCGCCGCATCTGCCATGTCATTCCCCCGTATATCCATGTGACTGGGGAGCCAACAAAGGACAATGTATAGGAGAGCTTGTATATATCCCCGATTATTGGGTGTACAAGCTGGATGTTATTAATAGCTTGTAATGAGAACAAAGAATCAGAAAATATAAAACATTTTTTAATGATGTAGACGACTGAAAAAACTCAAGTGCCTGTAAAATGGCAATGAGTTCTGCAGTAAATATTGAGGCTGCTGGTGGAAGAGCTACAGATAGAACTTCGGATGGTGTAACTGTAGCGGCTGCTACCTTATCACCATCCTTAGACCCATCTGTATAGAAAGGAGCAAAATCCCCATATTTAGACCTTAGTTCAAGAAATTTAGACTTGAAGAAAACAGAGCTTGTCTGTGACTTCTTGTTGCTTGTTAGACTAAAGTCTATTTGGAGTGGAGCAATTGACCAAGGTGGAATAGTGGTCATGGCAAAGTCCACAATACTGTCGTGGCTTATACCAGCCGCTCACGGACATAAGGGGTTGAATGCGGACTCCAAAAGAAGAAACAGCACGAGGCTTTGCCTCGTACAGGTGTTCAAAGTAAGGTCTAAATACGGGGCAGTAAGCAGGATGTTGTGGCAATGATGCTATCTTGATAGCGCACTGCAATGAAAGCCTGTCACGTCTGTCGTACAATGAGGGCTCATTAGCCTCGACGTACAGACTTTCAACTGGAGTAGTGCGAAACGCACCTAAACTGATTCTAAGTCCTTGATGGTGTATGGTATCAAGCTCTTTGATATAGGATGAACGAGCTGATCCATACACCTGACACCCATAGTCGAGCTTGGAACGAACCAAAGCTCGATACAATCGGAGGAGGACCTTTCGGTCGGCTCCCCAGTCAGTATTGGATAAGACTCTCAGTATGTTGAGAGCTTTCAGACATTTGTTCTTGAGGATTTTAAAATGGGGACGAAAAGAAAGCTTGCAGTCCCAAAAATTTAAATTCCCGCACAGCAGGAATATCAGCACCATCCAGCTTTAGTTCTGGATCTAGGTGCAATCCTCTTCGTTTACAGAAATGCATGCAGACGGTCTTGGATTTCGAAAACATAAATCCATTCTCAGTTGCCCATTGCTGTAAGTTGTTTAAGCAAAGTTGCAACTGACGCTAAATCGTCTGCATGTTTGTAGAGCCATAACACATTTGAAAGTCATCAACATACAGAGAGCCATCAACCCCCCGTCTCTAAGGCACGACGTGATGGAATTAATTTTAATAGAGAACAGGGTAACGGATAATATGCTACCCTGTGGAACTCCATTATCCTGGGGAAAAGGATCTGAACAATGGAGCCAAGTCGAACCTTAAACGTCCTACCATGTAGGAAATTGGAGATGAATAATGGCAATCTTCCTCTGAGACCGAAGTCAAAGAGATCACGAAGAATGCTATATCTCCAAGTGGTGTCATAAGCCTTCTCCAAATCAAAGAATATGGCTACAAGATGTTTATTTTGGATGAAGGCATCCCTGACAAACGATTCAAATATAACGAGATGATCAAGAGTACTCCTTTGGGACCGAAATCCACATTGGAGGTTGGTAAGAAGATTGTTTGACTCAAGGTGTCAAACGAGCCTTCGATTGATCATTCGTTCCATGGTTTTACAAATGCAGCTGGTTAATGCAATAGGGCAGTAATTAGGATTCGTAGGATCTTTACCAGGTTTAGGAATGGGTACAATGGTAGCGATCCTCCAAGATGGAGGAAATACGCCGTCATCCCAAATCTGGTTGAATATACATAAAAGTATTTTTAATGTTGGGTAAGGGAGATGTTTGAGGATCTAATAATGTATATCATCAGGTCCAGTAGCTGTATCATGAGCCTGTTTCAGAGAAAACTTTAATTCGGAGATCTTAAATATATCATTATAATATTCCTCGTTTTTTGATGTAAAATTAAGTTTTTTCCTCTCTTCCCGGAGTTTGACTCTCCGAAAAGCATCCGAGGAAAAGTTAGAGGAAGAATTATACGAAAAAGTGTGGCCCAAGGAATTAGCAATATCTGGAAGAGTGGTGAGAGTTGAACTGTCTATTTCTAGATGGTTCACAGATATTGTATCCGCTTTACACTTGATCCTACGAATCCTATCCCAGACTGATTTAGAAGACGTACGACTGTTGATCCTTGAAACGTACTCCTGCCATGACGACCTCTTTGCTTGGCGGATAGTCCTTCTGGCTTTCGCCCGTGCAATGCGAAAAGAGGCCACATTGTTATCAGTAGGAGAACGTTCAAGGAGTCGTAGAGCACGATTACGTTCTTTCAGTGCTGTCTTACAGTCTTCGTTAAACCATGGTTTATTGAATCGTTTTGGAGTTGCCGAGGTTTTACGAATCGCCCGACCCGATACATCTTGTAAGATGGTGGTAAATAATTCCATCGGGTCTTCTGCCTCATCTAGATCATCTTGAGGAAAAGAAGAAATGCAAAGAGCCTCAAAGAGAGGCCAATTAGCTTTGGAGAGTTTCCATCTTTGTGGCCTGTGTACAGGTGAAGGACCATTATTCCATAGAATTACAGGATAATGATCACTGTGGCAGAGATCGTCGTGGACACTCCAAGAAATATCTTGGAACAAAGATGGAGAGATAATTGTCAGATCAGATGAGAAAAAGTTTTGTTTTGTGAGCAGAAATGCGTAGGCGATTCGTCATTAAAGATTCAAAGATCATTGTCATAAATGAAGTCAGCTAATAATTTTCCTCTGTTATTATCATCGGAGCTACCCCAGAAAGAATGGTGACCATTGAAATCTCCTAACATAATGTAAGGAGAAGGAAGCTGGGCAATAAGGTCATCCAATTATCTCGGGTTCAATGATAAGCTAGGTGGTAAGTAGATGGAAAAAATGGTAATAGGCACGTAGAGTGTAACTCGCACGGCTATTACCTGTAGAGGAGAATTGAGTGTGATTTCGGACTGGGCGACATTCCTATTGACAATAATAGAAACACCACCCGAGACCTTATCATCACCAGTGCCATAATGGTGATAGGAAACAAAATGTTTAAATGGCACTAAACGCAAATCCGTTAGCTTGGGGAAAGTCTCTTGCAGACAAATAGCCAATGGATTGTATTGTTGCATTAATACCTGAACTTCATTAAGATTATGACTTAAACCTCGGCAATTCCATTGTATTATATATTTTTTTGATGCATTGTCAGGGTGGTTTGCGGTAAGGGGGGTTGAGAACTTCCACATCAACCTCGGAAGCCTCCATATCTATACTATCAGATATGGCAGACTTCAAAAGATCTCTTCCTCCCTTTTTGGAGGAGGATCCATTTTTTTTTGCCGGACTTGTCATTTTTAGAAAGACTTTCAGTTTGCTTATGTCTGGACTGCTTACCAGTCCCTTTTGGCTGAACGTCTTTAGCTGGTAGACTTAAACTACTATCATCAGCTACTGACTTCTCAGTCTGAGAAGCCTGAGTATAGGGGATGATGTAGATGGTGTTGCCTTAGGAATAGTTGGTAATAGGACCGGAGACGCTACTGGTAACCGTGTTAGCCAAGTGATGTCGGTTTGGCATTCGACCGATTTGGTAGAAGCCTTAACGACATTAGCAAAAGTCTTTCCGGAAGGAGTAGATGGAGTTGCACCTTCTACAACCTTCCTCGCTTCGGGATACGATATTTTGCTTTCAATTTTAATTTTATTAATTTTTTTTTCAGTTTGCCACTTTGGACGGTCTTTGGAAAAGGCAACATGCTTTCCATTGCAATTGCAACAACAAGGAGCTTCGGTGCAATCCGTGTTGTCATGCCCAGACTGACCGCAACGCGCACATCGAATCGAACTCTTACAAGTTCGAGTTCCATGCCCGAAGCGTTGACAGTTGTAACATCTGAGAGGATTTGGTATATACGGCGATACTTTGATATTAAGGTATCCTACTTTGATTTCAGATGGTAAATCAGGTCGGTTGAATAAAAGAATAAAGGTGTTGGTAGGAATTAAAGAGAAGCCGACATTCAACAGACTATTCGCGTAAAATCAATTATGTATGCGAACCTTTAACAAAAGGTACAAGAAATATGATAAATAAATAGCTAATAACTACGTAGTTGTCGTTTTAAATATTCCCGCGAGAAATTCCACGATCAATAGTTGAGAGAAAGTGGAGAAGGCAGATGTGACGTCACTGTGGTAACGCCACCTTGCTTTCTTACGCTTGTGAACGCGGAAAGTACATTTAAAAATTTAGTAAAAATGCCTAGGAGGTGTGTTGTAGGTGGTTGTTCCAATGAAAAGGTTGAGTATTTGAACATCAGCATTCACCTGTTCCCTAGTGAACCAAAATTAAGAAGAATTTGGGAGAAAAATGTTCAAAATACTCGTGTTGACTGGTCTGCTACGAAATGGAGCAACATTTGCAGCGTCCATTTTAACGAAGATTGTTTTGACAGTAGGCCGATGTTTATGTCTGAAATTGGAATCCATATGACTAGGAAGCGGGTTTTAAAACCAGATGCCGTCCCAACCATATTCTTCCGAAAGCCCAGAGATAGTCAGGACGATGTTCCAGTGCCAAAAAAGCGTATTCGTGGAGCTTTTGAAAAGAGGGCAAAAGCCAGAGTAAGAATTATTATTAGGCCTATTGGTTTTTTTTTTCACGTAAGACCAATATAAACAATTTCATAGCATTTCAAACTAGGCATAGATCTTAATCGGCATTGTATATGTTAATTTAGCCTATTATCAGAGATAATTAAACCACTTTGTTTACTTTTGGTCCTATTTGGGTCTGTTGGCACTATTTCCCCTATTTTTTATTAATATTAGTATGTAACTAAAGTAAAAGTAAGCATGGATGTGTGTGTGGAGTAGGAAAATAAAGCCTCGTTTATTGAAATTTTAGGTGTTGGAAAAGATCTTAATGCCTGTACCTACAGAGCCACATTCAAATGAAGTCCCAGTGAGTCCCGATACTAATGTTTCCTTGATGCCATGTAATGGACACTCTACTCAGACTACTGGATGTCAGACAGAGAAGATGAGACGCAACAACTACAGAAGTATCCGTGTCCAGACAACAATTCCAGGCTTGAGAAAAGGTACCATATTATGAACTTCCATATCTTTTTTTTGATGTAATTGTGAAACATACTGTATAAGCTTTTATTGCAACATATGATTTAATTAATATATAATGCATGCATGTAAGCTTATATGAACGATTAATTAATTTGAATATTGTAATCTGCTCTATTATTTGAGAGACAAAATATCACAGGTCCACATGTGAATTATTAATTTTTTTTCTTAGTTAATGCAGGATATAAGACATTAATTTTGAATTGTATTGATTCAGTGATTAAATATTTCCATATATTTTTTTATGACAGGCACTCAGACAATAAAGCCACAGATGGTGGATACAGGAATTCAGTGTCAGCTCCTGGCTACTCCAAAGGAGTTATGTACCTCCCGTGCATCTTCTGATGATGAATGTGAAACTCCTTCATCACCAGGGTACATCCCTCCAAGCTCCCCTGAGTCATCTGAAGAGGAAATGGATACAGAAGAAGAACAGCAACCACAACAGCCTGCAGACAAGGAGCCTAAGTTCATCATTTTCCTTGCATGTCTGCTGAAGTTGTTGTTATGGTGCCACTGCCCTGAGTGTGGTTCAATGGATATGACAAGGTCTCATAAGACAACTGGTAGTTTACTGACTGTTACTGTGAAATGACTATTCTGTCTTAAGATTTCATCCTGGAACAGCCAGCCCCTTCTCGGGAATATGCCTGCTGGCAATATACTGTTTTCGGCATCAATTCTCTTTGCTGGTGCCACAGCCAGCAAGTTTTTAAGAGTCATGAACCATATGAATGTTGTAACCATGTCTGTTCGTACATTTTTTTCGCCACCTTTGCCATTTTGCAAAAGGTAAACTTTGCATTCTGTTTCTTTTTTGTCATCCATGAAACCATATTTATAGAGCCATATTTCATTAAATAGAAATCTTGTTTTTGTATTGTTAGAGGGTGGATTTGAAGCATAATGAGAATGCTTAGTTAGTGGCGGAGAAATTTTGTGGGTTTACAGTAGTTATATTATATATTTTAGAAAATAAATGTATAATAAGGTTACTTGCTCATTCCATTTGCATTTGTTTGTTTGTTAATAGTTGATAGTTGAAATAACAATACAGATTTGTAAACAGCTAAAGCATTTTCTGCAGTGAGTTAGTTCATTAAAAATCATCTCTATAGATCATTAAAAATATTTTTGACAGGTTTGGCCAAGAAACTTCTGGCGGCTTCCCAGGAACGTGACTGTGCCATCATTCGTCCTTGGATACACAGTGTTACCAATCACATGTACTGGTGTGAGACGTCCACTACAGTTGGTGAAGGAGACCTAATATTGGCAAAGTGGCGATCGATTGTTGAGGTGGATGTGTAACAAGAAGAGTGCTCCAAGACCCAACATATGGTAGGTTTCATAGCAACCAAATTGTACAGAAATTATTTTGACTTGTAATCCTTTAATTTGCTTATCACATAGTGATTCAGTGACGTCATGAAACGATTAGTTAAGTCAAATTGCAGGAACAACAGATGTCTGAATAAAAGTTGGAATGGTGGAAATTGATGCTATTTGTGTCCCCGAACATCTCTTTATAATCCCTTTAATATTTTATTAGATCTTTTCAGTAAATATAGAACTAGACACTAGTATACATATCGTAAATTATATTCTTCCAGTTTATGTCGATCGGTTGTTGGAAGAGGTCTGTCAAGCGTGTTTAGATGGAAGTATTACAGACGAGCCTGAAGCAGTCCATGTTCCACCACCACTCGCAGCTCAATATGACCATCCAGATAAAGCAGAGGCTGTCAAAAACTTTGTTTCCAGATTTGGATCTCCCTAATTAATCATTTGCCCACATTACATTAATGTGGGCGTATATAGTCGTCGCCTCTGTCTGTCTGTTTGTCCACAATTGTTTGTGGACACGATGGAGAGCTGGTTTCTTGATGGATGGATGAACCCTATTGAAAATCAGACGAATCTAAAAATATTTACTATGAGTTATTGCCCTTGTTCTTGAATTGTTTGTGGACATGATAGAGTGTGGACACGATAGAGAGCTGGTTTCTTGATGGATTTTGACGAAACTTGGTGTGAGTGTTTGTCATCACCCACGGATAAACCCTATATAGCCGTCGCCCTTGTCTGTTTGTCTGTCCGTCCGTCTGCCTGTCTGTCCGTAAATATTTAACTGTCTTAACACAAAGATTTGCCACTTGCTGCCACTCAAAATATTCAATTCTATATGGATTAAATGAAACTTGACATGTTAAATTAATCCCACTTGAATAAAAAAGGACAAATTAGCTGCCATTACAAATGTTTGGGCGTATTACGATTGCATCGCTATTTTTATCTGATTTTAATGAAATTTGATGTGATCATTTATATTGATGAAATCACGGTCAAGTTCGAATTTGACGATTTTGATGAACATCTTTTGAATTATTGCCCTTGACGTGGGAAAATTTTGTTTGTGAACAGAATAGAGACTACAGTTTTTATCTGATTTTAATGAAATGTGGTGTGATCATTTACATTGATGAAATCTTGATCAAGTTTGGATTTGACAATTTTGATGAACATTTTTTGAACTATTGCCATTGACTTAGTAAAATGTGTCAATAATTGTTTGTGAATAGAATAGAGACTACAGTCTTTATCTTATTTATCTCCATCTACACATGGTTCTTGCATGGAAATAACACACAGTAGTTCACAGCCATTTTAAATCACTTCCTCGACTTAATGAGTCAAATTTCTAACAAGTCTGAAGTATTTCAACTGAGCTTTTAGTAACATTTATAGCCATTTCTAAGCCTTTGAACATGATTTATAGGCTCAGTTAATTACTTATGCCTTTTTAAACATCTGTCAAGGTAGTGATTTTAAATGGCTGTGAACTTGTGTGTGTTATTTCCATGTAATAGCTTCTAGTTGTAGTTTTGTATAGTGCTTACTGCATGTGTAAATAATACTTAATTTTTGTGGGACTTTGCTTTCAGCAAAGTCCCAGTTTGTTATCGAAATGTCCATTCTTTTTTTTTTTTTTTTTTTTTTTTTTTTTTTTTTTTCGAAATTTACACACCTTCCTGAGCTTAAACTGCAGTAGTTGCAGCAACCATTCAACTTCTCTAGACCTTCTGTAGTGGCAACGTGTTCCTTAAATATATATTGGAACATTTTTGCAAAACTGGAATTGCCACAGTTCAACATGTGCAAAAAGTCGAAAATCGGCTCTAGAAGGCGTATTTTTGCATCGATTTTCTTCGGGTTTTCATTTTTATAATCTAC